AAGCCAGGCAGGCTCTGAAGTTCCGCATCCTGGGAATAGAGGCGTGCGAGGAATTGGGTTATAGGCCCAAAGGAAGTGATCACTTCACGCTGCCTCTTTATTGCATGCAGGTCATGTGCCTTTGCTTTAATCTGTTTACTATCTTAGTCATGAGCCGAAGGTTACTGGTTGGGATTATTTCTTGGGGCTTTGTTTGTGTTAGTTTTGAGAATGAAGAGTAAATTACTGGCTCCCAGCCATACCTTCTGGGGCAGGATTCCCTTGAGTTGGGGGCTTCCCTGACTCCTGGGGCTGTAGTTGCACAAAGCTGCCCTCTGCTGGCCATAGCCAGAAGTCTGGGGGCAGCTCTTAGGCGGAGACTGGACGCCATGCAAGGAGGGTAGTTTTTATCTTTCAGTTTGCAGGTGGAGATGGGACCTCCACTCACACTGGGTGGCGAATCTACCTCCTTTTCCCCATTCTCCTTCCCTTCACCCACTAAATGGATATGCAAGCCCCGCCCTAAGCATTACACATTCATGGTCTTATGATCTGCACAATGACCTAGAGGTAAATATGCCATCCCCTCACAGAAATGAGTCAGGAGTTTAGGGAATCAAAAACTTTCCCAGGATTGTGAGCAATAAAACTGGGCCAGCTTTACGGGCACGTGACCAGGGCTCTGCACTCAGAACCTCCCCGGCTGCCCACCCATCTCCCTCCCCCCGCTCCCTGCTTTAGTTTAATGCTCTACTGTCACCATCTCAAAATTCTTAGTTTCTGAACAAATGACTTGCATTTCATTATGTGTGGGGCCTGGCAAATTGTGTCCTCAGTCCTGCTGTTAGAGTTGGGGCTTCAAACCGGAGCTGCTCCACCCTAAACCCCGGGCCCTCTTGCTGCCCCCAGGGCTATTTCTAAACCACACATCTGTCATCTCCCTGTTCAGCCCCCCAGGCGGCTCTCCTTTACCTGTAGGACTAAGCATCCCATTTCCTAGTGCAGGGATTCTTAACCCTGGCTGTATACACCTGGAGGAGGGAGGGTTGGGGGAAAACACTGACACCTTGGCCAATATGCTCAGAGCAATAAAATCAGAATTCCTGTGGGTGGGGCCCCAGCACTGAGTGTAAAAGTTTTCCAGGTGTTTCTAATGAGTAGCCAGTATGGAGGCCTTTGTTAGAGGGCTTGGCATTGTTCCTGGCATTTTTTTTTTTAAGAATATTTTTATTGATTTCAGAGAGGAAGGGAGAGGGAGAGATAGAAACATCAATGATGAGAGAGAATCTTTGGCTGCCTCCTGCATGCCTCCCACTAGGGATTGAGCCCACAACCCGAGCATATGCCCTTGACCAGAATCGAACCCAGGACCCTTCAGTCCCCAGCCTGACGCTCTATCCACTGAGTCAAACCAGCAAGGGCCGTTCCTGGCATTTTGTGGGTGTTTAACAAATGTGCTCCAACGCTTTAGAGTCATGAATTCACTGAAGAGCTCAGGGTGAGAGTTCAACTGAGTTGTGAACAAGAGGCTCATCTTTGGGTTTCATGTTTGTGTCCAAATAGGAGTTCAATGGGGAAGTTCCCGGGTGGGCTGCAGAGGGTGGTTCAGTGGGGAGGAGGGAGAGTGAGAGACTGAGAAAGACTTGAAAATTAGGTGCATCTTCCTGAACTGATACTCTGCCTGAAAGTATCATCTGCTTATGTTTAGGCAACATTTTCAATTCCAGTGCTTGGATGAGTGGGTTCATCCCAACCCTGGTCTCAGCAGGGGGCATTGGCCCAGCTCAGGGAAACTCTTATTTTTGTTAGTCCTTACCTGAAGATATTTTTTCCATTGCTTTTCAGAGAGAGAGTTGAAGGGGGGCGGGGGGGAGTGAGAGAAACATTGATGTGAGAGAGACATTGACTGGTTGCCTCCCACATGCGCCCTGACTGAGGGTGGAGAGCAAACCCACAACCCAGGTATTGAACCCTTAGCTTTTTGGTGCTCAGGCCAACACTCTAACCACTGGTCCACACTGGCCAGGGCAGGGAAACTCTTTTTTGAGGGGGTTGGCACCTGAGAGGGCTGGGTGCAATTTGGAACTGCTGGTGGCCATTGACCATGCAGCAGAGCTCCCTGGGGGTGATCAACTTCTGATGTTTGAGCATACCAATCCCACCTTCAGGTGCTTCCCCAAACTCACCTTATCCACATAAACTCAGGTGGTGGTTATGGATATCAAGATGCCTTTACAGCTGTATTCACGTAGGAAATTCCAAGGGTTTTAGGAGCCCTACGCCAGAAACAGGCGTGCAGACCCAATATGTATTCCTTATTAGAAATCACAAGATCCCAGGCTTCTATCCTGGGCTGCTGCACGTGGGGAGAGGGTGCTCAGAGTCTGCTTTGCACCCTCCTGACAAAGAGTCCCCAGAGCCATTTGCTAATCATCTAATTAAAAAATGGATTCTCCGATGGAGAGAGGCCTGGGAAGAGAGTAGAGATATGATCAAGCAAGCACCACTGTAATCAAGTAAATTGCTCACCCCAGGACAGCCAATAAGTCACGTGACAAGGAGTTGGGGCAAGGACGGCGACATTATTCTGAAAGCCAGCAAGCCGAGATGACGTCAGACTAGTGTCCTAAAGAACATCTTGAGAGACCACGGAATTCAGGCTTCTTTTATGTCAGGGGAGGGGCAAAAGAGGGGCGCTTGAGGGCAGGAGGTGACTGGTGGTGACATCTATGTGTCAGCAAGGGCCCCAGTCATGAGGTTCCCATAAATCTTTCGATAAACAATCTTTATTTTTGTACGTACCTTCCCTTTCTCCGTAGGGAGGCAGTTTTGAGGAGGTTGGTGTAGTCCCTCCTAGGCTACAGGCCAGGTCCCTGAAATGATCAGCGTGTCCGTGTGTGGGAATGAGCAGAAGATGTTGCCCACATGCTATGGGGCCTGGGCAGGTTTGAGCAAGATGGAGTCAGAAGGGCTGATTATTTTATTCTATTACACAGTCCAGGTGTTAATGGCAGAATCTAGGACCTAGGTGGTACATATATAGGTGCTCACTAGAGAAATTATTTCAGTTTTGCTGTATGTTGGAAAATCCTCATAAATAAATGTTAGGGAAATGAGCTCAATTTAAATGTATTATTTCCCTCTCCTTTTTGCAATGTTCATTTTTTCTTAAGCTTCTCTTTGATTATTAAAGTCACCAGCACCAGAGCAATTACTTCCTGCAAACAAGTTGTCAGAAGCCTCAAATTAATTTTAGACCTAATTTAATTCCCAAATTACTTGCTTATGAAAAAAAATCCTAATTTCTCCAAACCAAATCAACCCTTGATATACCAGTTATGATTTCTTTTTAAAAGTCGGCTGTAAAATGCTAAGCCGGTCGCCCCGAGGTGAATTAATGCGGACTGGGAAGAGAAAGGGGCGCTCAGAGCCTCCGGGCCACAGGACAGATCCCAGGCACAGATCGAGGTGAGCTCGGGAGTGTGTCAGGGTGAAAGGGAAGAGGCGAGAGCTGCTTCCCAAACAGGGACAAATTGGCCCCCTCGTGGCTGGGTGGAGATGGAGTGGTGGTGCCAGGACACGGAGATGAGGTCCTGAACACTCTGACAGCTTTCCAAAATGTGACCGTCTCTAGGGAGACCAGGGGGTAGGAGTCAGAAGCTGGAAAAGTGCACATTGGCTTTTCTGGCCTCTGTACTGGGGGCTGTATTAGTTGCTAAGACTGTCATAACCAGTGGCAACAAACTAGGGGGCTGAAAGAAATAGAAATGTGTTCTCTCACAGCTCTGGAGGCCGAAGGTCTAAGTCAAGGTGTCCTTTTCAGAGCCGTGGGGAAGAATCTGTTCCATGCCTCTCTCCCGGCTCCTGGTGCTGCCTGCAATTCCTGCTGTGCCTTGGCTCGTGGACCCATCCCTGCAGTCTCAGCCTGTTTCACGCGGCGCTTGCTCTTCCGGTGTCTGTTGGTCTTTGTGTCTCTTCTCTTCCTAAAAAGACCCCAGTCATTGGATTAGGGCCCAGCATGACCTCATTCGAACTTGGTTCCCTCTGTAGAGACTCTGCTTCCGGGAGAGATCATATTCACAGGTGCTGGGGGTTAGGGTTCAACATATCTTTTGGGAGGACACAACTCAACCATAACAGGGGTGAACATAGAGGGAGGGTTTGGCAGTGGTGCTGGGTTGTTCCCCAGATGTGATGCTTGGAGATATGTCTCAGGATGAGGGGAAAGGCGAGAAACACAGCAGCCAGCCTGGAGTCGGGGCGGAGGGGAACTGCTAAATTAAGCATCTGCAGACCGTCTACCTCCAGACTTTGCCTTTAAATCTCCTTCCCGTTTAAGCCATTTTTAGTCATTGCTTGCAACTGAAAGTATTCAGATTTTTTTTATAGAAATAAAATATCTGGCTATCCATAAATACTTGAACTCAGTGCCTTCATTTTGGACTTAAGCTTTAAATGCTTTCTTTTCTACCAATAAGAAGGGGGGAAAGGTTAGGCTTTAGTTATTTCTTTTAGAATGGATGACTCAAAAGATAAATGAGAAACTTGTTCTTTTTTTAAAACAGCAAACATAGTTTCTTTTTAAGTACATAAAACTATGCTTAAAATCCTCCAAATGTTCTTTTGAAATGTGATTTTACAGCGTTTTTTTTTCTTGTAACATTAGTAAAATCTTGTAACTTTCACAAGTTAAGTTATATTTCAATACATTTACTTATTACAGAATTAACAACTCATGGGAATAGAAAAAAAGTGCCCAGATGAAAAGAATGCATTTTCATGGAAAAAAGATAAACGAATTAATAAGTTACTAGTATTTAATAAATAAATTCTTACTGAATAACTTATCTTCCTGGTAAAATATTTACCATGCTCTTTAAAACCTTTTTAATCAACTGAAACACGCAGGAAGCTTTAAGTGATTGGATATCCTTCTGTGGCTTGAGAGTTGAAATTAATCAGGGTCAAAATGAGCCCCATCCTTCCTCTGCTCTGGAAAGAAGCGAAATTAAGTGTAAAAAAAGAGTTGAAATTATTTTTTATTGAAGTACATTTTAATAAGAAGCAAATTGATTTAAAGTGATTCAAATCTTCGTGGAGTGAGGCTCTTCACGCCCTCGACTCCTCGGGCTGGAGGGCAAACTCCTCGTCTGACAGGGTCCGAAAGGTCCCACTCCCACCCAGGCGCTCGGATGTTCTGGGCAAATGAAGAATCAATTCCTGATACATCACCTTAGGACTGGCCCGGGCCGAGTGACTCAGCAGGGGAACATCTTCTCCACTTCTCCGTGCAGTGTATCCCGAGTAGGAAATAACATAGAACAGCCATAGCCTGTGGCATTGACAGAAACATGGCTCCCCAGCCCTCCCCACAGATGCTGGGTCAGGATATAAAAAGGAAGAAGCCGGGAATCTGTGTGTAAATCGACGCCCCAGGGTCTTCTTATGTTTAGTCTGACTCCCCAAAGTTACTGGACAACCAAGGTTGACAGCGAAGGCCCTGCCTCTCACACCTGGACGGTGTGTTAAACGCCGGCTGCCGGGCCCACCAAGGTCTCCGATTCAGTGGGGGTGGGCAGGCCTGGGAGTCTGCATTTCTGCTGCTGGCCTGGGGACCACATTTTAAGAACCACGGCCATAAGGTAGTTTGGTTGAATAAATGATTGTTCTGTAATACAGGTCTTCTCTGAGGAAAAAATACTCTCTCGATGTATATTGTGTTTAAATCCAGAACACATACCTGTTCTCAGACCAAAATATGGAAAAAAGGGTATCGGTAGAATACAGAAGAAGGGATACAGTTAGAGCTTTAGTGATTCTGGCCAGACGCCACCGCAAACCCTTCAGAACTTCCCAGCACCAAGCGCACGTCGTGTGAAGAGGGAGTTATAACATCCCCATGAGAACAGTTAGTTCCTGAGGAAGAAAACGCTTCACGTCTCAATGGTGTTAAATATGGCGTAAAGCAGACAAATTACCACATCAACTGAGTTTCCAAGAATTCTTCCCCACTTCGCTACATGACTTCGTACAAAAAGAGGTTCTTTAAGTTTTGGCTTGCCAAACAGTACCTTGCTGAAGCACCACTCGCCAATCTTGCTGAGGACTGTTCTGGAATACAGATGAACGTGAGTAAACCCGAGGAATTTCTGGCAGAGTTCACGGTGGGGTGAGTTTTCTCAGTCAGCGATTCCAGAAATACCGGCTCAGCTGTGCCAGCGGGTCCAAAGGGCCTGCTTCTCATTATGGGGAAGACAAAGTTGGGTCACAGGTCACTGCTAAGCCTCGTCTGCGCTGGAGAAAATGAGATTGACCCACTGAGAGAATCTCACGGTATTTCCTGTGGAAGATGCTGGCACACAATGTATGTTTCATATGATCAGCCTCGCAGACTGAGGGTTCTGATGGAAGGTCTGGCCAGTGATGAGGGCCCGCAGGCCCCGAGGCCAACCTTCTTTTTAAATTCTGCTAGCGAGACAGCTTACATTTGACAGCTGGTTTCCACAGAATCTTCCCCATTCCTTCTGGGCCCGATGAACACAGGTTCTAACTGAGGAACATCCGAGTTTGGCTCCCATCAGAGCTGTCTGCCCATCGAGGGGAGACCGGCTTCTTTTGAGGACATTGCGTTGCTGCCTTTCCAGCTTTGCGATACGTGCGCCAGGCCAGGCCCAGGCTGCTGTTCCGCAAATAACTTGGGCTCAGCCTTTGCTTCAGTAGGATTTTTGGAGCAGAATCAGTCAAATGGTCTTCCCATCCTCCCAGGAGAATGTGGCATTAAAAGAAACAACCGTATTATCTACATTTCCAGAAATGACTCCCTGATGATTATCCACCTCCCATCAAAGCTCACTGTGCTTTCTTCCAAACGGGCCTTGAGTTTTAAGATGTTTAATATTTAAAGTTTCTTTCTGGAAATACTCACTGGGTTTGGACGGCAACTTCTGAAGACCGATAAAAGGGGAGAGGTACGTGGTTTAGGAATGGAGTATTTGAAGGCTGAGTAGAGGGAGGAAAATTCCAGCTGGAAACCTTTCTGATGTGCAAGCCTTCCGGGCTCTGGGGGGTGAACGAGACGGTGCAGGTGGAGGCAGCTCCCACCGCGCCTGCGGCCGGCAGCAGTGACACGTGAGGTAAACCTGCAGTTGAATCTGGGTAATAAGACATCGCCTGTCAGGGAATCCGACATCCTTTTATTCGAACAGTGGCAGCACCATCCCGCCATTAGAGCAAACGACACGTGAATTGAACTGAATGCTAGATAAGGTGCACCTATTCCGACTGTGTGAGTCGGGAGTGTCGGAGGGGTTGACAGAAGGTTGGCAAAACCCCATCTAATTTGCTTGGCGAATTCCGTCACCGATGAGCAGCTGTAGGCAGTCCTTCTGGAAGGCAGCCCCCAGATTTGATGCACATGCAAGCTTAAAACCACCTGTTTGGACCACCTGCGGGACCTGACCAGTGGGCCTGGGTGCTGCCTGGTCTGAGTTTTGAAATGCTCCCTAGGCGACTCTAACGTGCAGCCGGGGTGCGAATCAGCTATTTCTTATTTAACCATCTCCACTGCTACAATTCCTCACCAGAAGCTCTATCTAAGGGGCCTATGGCGGACACCCTTTCCTTTTGGATGGAGTCTTGGTTTTGTTCTTGATTTCCACTCCTCGGAGGCCCAGGAGCCCTTGGAGGCCTCCCCTCAGCCCAGGCACAGGTGGAATCCTGAGTGGGTGATGCGGGGTTTCTCCACCTGGGCACGGTTGACAGGGGAGCAGGAGAACTCTTTGTAGTGGAGGCTGGTCTGTGGATTGAAGGATGTTCAGCAGTATCCTTGGCCTCACCCACCAGGTGCCAGAAGCACCCCAACCCCCAAGTGGTGACAAGGGAAAGGTGAGACTCTCGGGGCTCAGCTGTCATGTGAGGCCGTGCCTTGTCAAAGGGCCCTGACGTCTGTGGGGCTGTGGCATCCACCGCCCTGGGAGCTGCCGGCCCTCCGGCTCCGCCTCGTGAGACAGTACAGCCCGTGTACCCCCGGGGCTGTGCTCTGTTATTTACAGCTAACTGCTTCCAATGGCTTCACCCTGAATCTAGGCTGTTAATTATTGGGAATGAATTGTTCCTCTTTGCAAGGCAGACATTTTGCCACAGACCAACATGAATAATTGGTCAAAATGTGTCCAAAAAGTGGAAAACTATGAACATACACCAAGATTATGACCGTGAAGCAGGGAAGCACCTATGTGAAGTGCATGTAATTTATGGATGTGGCGTACGAACATTCTTTGGCCTTGCTCAAGGAGAGAGCAACAAAACCTCACATGGCACCAGTGGTGGCCAGGGACCCACCGAAGCAGATGTTCTCTATCTATTAGATATAAATCTAATCCCAGGCAGGTGTCTGAGGAACCTCCAGGCACGTCTCTTGCTGAAAGGCTCAGCATGTGAGGGCAAAGCATTAGAATTGATTCTTTTTCAACATTAACCTGACTTGTAGAAACAAACTCCTTTCCTATTTCCAAAGTGATTTGTGGGGTCGATGAGTGTAATGTTAAATCACAATCCCTCTGGTGTTGGATTTTGGGCAGCGACTCATGGCCCCCACCGCCATTTTCACTCACTGAAAAGGAATTTTAAAGAGGCTGAAGCGAAAAGCAGGTGCTTAACCTCATGAACCAGAGACTAAGATTCCAGGTGATGGCTACGTGGCTATCGTTTTAAGACATTTTTAAAAACAAAGTGACCTTCTGAGATGGTAAGCAAATAGGTCACGGAAAAGGGGCATCAATTTCCCCCTAAGGGGGGTCTCAAGGGATAATTTTTGTGAGAAATGATGGGGGTGTTAGTAAATGAATGTGAAACCTGTAGGCATTGTTGTTCTGCTGAGGCAAACACTCAAGAAACTGAACTGGATTTGTTTAGACAGTTGCTATCAAATAACTTATTTGGGGGAAAAAAGGACAATACTTTGAATAGTTTCAATTCTGAATAAAAATTCACATCAAGGTGTTGGTTACCTTAGGTCCTGTTTGAAAATGCAAAATCAGTCTTTTGAAACTGGATTTCAGTCCTGAGGGGTGGGCTGGTGGTTCCCAGGATGCCCTGACGCAAGTATGTGGGAATCTGCGCTTTCGGTAGGGGTGGACCAAACAGCCAAGGGCAAGCCCTGCAGTAGGCCACGGCCCCCAGCTCTGTGATCCTACGAAACCAAACTCAGGGCTGTTGGGAGGATGAGGCCAAATAAACAAACTGTTAAGAACAGTGTTTCTAATACATGCTTTCCCTGGTGCTGGACTAATCGTTAACTGTTGCCAGGTAATTCTCAGGGTTAGCTTTGACAACATATTGTGCAAATGACTCCATTGTAATCCAATTAAAACATATAAACTATAGAATACAAAAAAAGAGGAACATGATTATCCATTCAGGAAACCTTCAATTTACAAGCAAGATGTGAAGGTCATTTTGAGTTGTTTGGAGGACTCTATGTCCCCATAGCAACAGTGCTCCGAGTGCGCTTAGGATTCCAAGGACTCACAAAGGCACATTAACCTTTAATTACCTGAAACACTGTATGTTTGTCCTGAGAAGGTCCTGAGGCCAACCATGATAGTACTTTACTAGAAATGAAACAGTAGAGAAACAAAATTGATCAGCAAATAAAATGAAAATATTTAAAATCTTTTGGCTTGAAGGAAAGCAGGATTAACCAGAAGTCAAATGAGGAAGCTGGTGGGGCCTTGGGCCTGGGAGATGAGGGCATTTGTCAAACATACGGCTGCTTCCCTTGGTGCAAGCACCTCCACACTATGTGGATTTAACAACCCTAAGTGGGATCTTCACTGGCCCTTAACTGAACAAAAACTAGTTGGAGAATGAGAAGCAGCCATTTCCTGCACAAAAGGATCACGCCTGGAACTGGAAAGGAGCAGTGCTGCGGGACAAGGTGGGGCACGAGGCCCTGGGGGAAGTAGTCGTTTCCCTGGCAGGCACAGGTTGCTCCAGAAAGGCCGAGGGGCTGAGGCAGTGGCAGGGCAGGGCAATGGTAACGTGGCCGGCACCTGCAGTTCTCACTTCACACAGGTACTGTCTTAAAGGAGTGGAGGCAAACCATCCATTTGGGCAAATGGGAAGGCCTCTCCAAGGTCACAAAGCCTGTTTCACGCGAGGCTAAAGCTCTGCCTACAGAATGGGTGGAGCGCATGGCAGTGCAGGCGTTCCTTTATTAATGGAACCCAGTGCTCTTTTATGGGATTACTTCAACTGCTCTCCCCCCATGTATAGTGTTTTACACCACACTAGTTCAATGAAATGTTAATTAGGTGGTAAGTACATAAAAAAGATCCTTGGTTGGTCAAATAACTTGGAAACTGGCAGGTGAGAAAGTGAAATCTCATTTCTCTGCTCTGGGACCTCAGAGCCTTCAACATGCTAATTTGCACTGTGATTTTTCATAAAGTGAATCCAGTACAAGGCAAATTTTCTAAACCCAAGTGACTACAAACCCTTATTGTCTGGAACTTCTCCAGGACAAGCGTCCTGGGGAACATACCTGGGAAAGGTTTCCGTCTGAACATGTAAAACATCAGCTCTCCTTCGACACCTGTCAGCGCAAACCCATGGTCACCGAGGCTCCTCGTGACACAACCCCACCCGCACCACCTTCCATTCTGCCTTTGGTTATTCGTACTCAATCCTTCTAGAGGTTTTAGCTCATACTCTAAAATGGAACGTGCACTTGAATCTGAAAATGTGAAAAACCAAACAAATCACTTTGACACACAAAGGAGGCGTTAATAGCAGGATTCCAGGCACCTTTATTCAGGGCAGATACTGTGGTCAGTGGAGCTTGCCTCAAGAATCTTCCCATTACTTTAAGGAAGCCAACTTCTACCTACTAGTAAGTCCTAACTATCCTTCCTGCCTACCATTTCCAGTTGCTGTTTACTAGGCTTGAAAACACCCCGCACACAGGTTCCATCTGATTGGCTGGAGTGCAGCAGGCTCTGGGGCTTGCTGGGCTAAACCTGCAGCACATCAAAGGAGTTTCTGCTCTGGGCAATTAACAGGGTTAATTCATTTTATCACAGAAGAAATTTACTCCTTTATGTTTTCCATATAATTTATAAATAGGAAAAATTATTTCTTAATATTATTATATATTTGTAATACAAACAATCAAGACTGGTGATATAGGAAACAAAAAAAACATAGGATTCATTAAGTGCAAATCTGACAGTCAACGTTTTTTCTATAAAAATCACTTTGCTGTGACAATCACATGGATCTCCTCCAGTCAATACTGGCCTTTAGGCTTAGCATTCCCGACACTACATTTTTGAGTGGCGAGAGTTATCCCTGTCTTCTATCATGAATAATAAAACCATTACTCTGCAGTAAGTAGTAGTTTAAAGAAACAGTATTTCTTAAAAAGCTTGAGCCTAAAAACCTTAAAAAGGTTTCACAAGTCTTTTATTATTTTCTAATGAAGCAACTGGCATGGTCTCTTTTCCTTTTCTGTTCCTTTTTTCCAATCAGTAATTCAAAGAAAAGATGGAGTAACTGAGTTTTAAAATCCTGCCAGATTTTGTACGGTAACTCTTGTAGATGAACAATGCAGGGTCCTACTGAAGTATTCAAATCTCATGCAGAACTCTAACTAATGAATGCCTCATTACATTAGGCAATTCTATCATTTTCCATACTTAAAAATTCTCACACTAAAGTGGCAGTGGTTACTATTCATTACTTTAGCATCTGACCTCAAAGACTTAGACAAAATCATGGTTCAAGTCTGAGTTTTGGCAACAGAGTAGTGCCAGGTATTTCTGAATAAACAATTTTTAAATGTTCTCAACTATTGGAAAAGTATTACCAACACATTATTTGGTGTTAGTTCATCAGTCATATTGTTGAAAATCAAAGAACCCTAAACTCTATAAATGTCTTACTTTACAAAGTCTAACTATAAAGGAATAACCTACTATATGTCTAATAGAAAAAAACTTACACAGCAACTTTTATCAAACAGCAACTACTACAAAAGGAATGATAGAAAAAAATGACTTCACAAAAATACACTAAAAAATTTGACAATTTTATGGAAGAACCGCCAAAGTTTTAGTGTTTAATATTTAATAGGACAACTGACCAAGATCTGAGGTGTGAAGTTATCATGTTCAAGAAATGGGGGTTGGAGGATCACTCTGTCAACTAACTATATAGTATGTGATAAGAAGAATGCACACTTTACAACATAAAACCTGTCTACACATAGTAATTAGTTGCAAAAAGCCATCTGGTCTTCTCTTGGCTTATAAAAACAATGTTCCAGATTCCAGTGTAAATTAGCAACCTATTGAGAAAGGAAAACCATCAGCATGTTATTCATTAAATAAGGACAAATAAAAATGATACTTAGAATTATCAACAAAAAATTCTTTCAGAACCCTCTAATGAGCTAAACTTATTTTTTGTGCATGATATTCTAACAGCAATACAATACATTTAATTGGAAATTTTTATTAAAGAAACTTCTGAATCCATTTCTCCTCCCACTCCTTTCTTTGTATCATCCCTGTAACTCAGTCTTCAATCCTCAAGAAAATGTTCTCATTCATTTGATGGGACGTTGGAGATATGAGAAGCTTCTAAGACTGGCAGGACATTTTCCAAATTATCTTTATATAGGAATAAAGATGACAACCCACACAAAATCAACCCATCTATTTTTCTTGTACTTCAAAGCAACTTGTATTTCACAGTAACTTATAATTTGGTCCAGTCAGGACACACCCAGAAAGTAAGAAAATAAAAATAAAAAAAAGGTGTCTTTTACTGTATTACTCTGTTTGGTACTCTAGTTACCTAAAAATTCTCAGTGAACTTTATTTTTATAGGGAATTAAAATGCTAAAAATGGGGTGGGAGAAAAGGG